AACCATTTCAATGTTCTTAAAAATTAAGTTTTCTCGTTTGGGGATAGGATGTTTTATATAAGGAAAAAGATTTTTCTACATCGACCGAGACTAAGGGGGCATGTTTCATTTTTACTCGGAATTCTAGTTCAGTGCAATCCAAAATATTTTTCAAATCAGGATTTTTGATAAACTAGATCTGAGTTTGTCCAGGTACTGTACATCAAGCGCCTGACTTACAACGTTCCACTGATTCCGCATTTCAGTTCCACGTCTTTCCAGCTCGTTGATTTTATCTACCAATAACTTGTACAAATGTACGGAGTAGAGCTCTTTGGTCATTACTGGATCAGTGACCAGTTGCTTGACATTGTCGACGGCCACAGAATAGCCAGGAGGAAGTTCGTTGATAAACGCATTGGTTTTCTTGAAGTTCTCGCAGTAGAATACCACACTGTTTATCCAAGACCCCCAACGGGTGACCACTAGACTGGGTGGTAATGGCAGCCTAGTTACGTCTTGGTACAAGCGCTCCCGACTAGGGCACTTGAGAACAACCATTTTCTTTTTCGAAATGTAGTCGTTGGCCTTGCTATATTGTACTCAAATACATTTACATACTCGGTGTTGAGCATGGTAAGTCACGTATTGTAGATTTTCAGTAAATCTGTTTACATTCTTAGAACAACCGTAAGGCTTAGTTGTTTAGTCTAGAAAATTTCCCTTTACTCCCTTTTCTCTCAACAAAAGAAGAGAGTAAGATAATTATCGTATTTTTTTTCCTCACCATACGTGGTCCGGTTTAACGAATTTGTTTTTCACTCCTCAAATGAATGAATAAAAAAACCACAAAAAAGATAATTATCAATATTTTCTTTGAAAATGTAAAAAGGGGGAAGCTGGGTGCAAAATATATAAGTTTCGGTTCTGGTGACCGTTTTGGGAGCAGGTTTGCGTTTTCGGTGCATTTGGGTGCCAAACAATTTGGCAATGAGTGGGCCTACTGCACTAAAACTGGCGTAGTTTGTCTTTTTCCACTTTGCCTCTTTCAAAAACCGAGTGGGCAAAATTCCGGACCTTAAATATACGCTATAAATTATTATACAAATTGTTTATTTTAGATTTAGAATGTAAAACTGATACATCAAGTTACATTAAAAGATTTCCGTTATATACTTTTTGCAGTATTTCCTTAATGTGCAAATAAATGCAACTTGGTATTTTCTACGAAAAGGAGATAGAACACGATGCGTAGGTTTTTCTGTTACGACGTCATACGAAAACACAAATGAAATTATATGCTTTTAAATTCTGTCTAAAGCAGCTTAAAATCCGCAAGTAGGAGGGGACATTCATGTCCATCGTCATAACTGATAAAAACGTCAAGAAACGTTCATAACAGCCATATGTGCAGCCAGCATAATAGTTGACAATTCTAGTGGAAGCTAAAATTAGGCTACATTTCTTTCTCTATTCGACGGAATGTTAGCTTTTACAGCTTTAAAGGAACATTCGCAACGTCTACAGGTGTGCAAATATAATTCACTTTTTCTCAAAAAAGTAACGACGAATTTGAAATATTGAATAATGTTATTGTATAACATACGCTTTTACTTATTATTCTTAGACAGTTGACATATGAAATTTATTTAATTTTATGTGATGTTCGCTTCTTTCAAATATCTGCATATAGTAGTTTTATTTTCCTGTTATTGTGTGTTTATACTTTTGTTTTGATGGCGTCAAGATTTAACAAATCATATGCCGCTACGATTTCATTCAGAGTTTATGAAATTTTCCTTTGTTTGTTATCTTCCTTTCAAGTCGTTTTAAAATGTCATCATCTGATATTTTCAAGATTTGTTCTGTACTTTTGGAATTATTGAATGTATTTATAAATAATATTCTTACTTCCTCTAACCCACACAAAAGATGTCATCTGAAATATTTTTATTGTGATACATCGTTAACAAACTTTTAATTTCATTAAAGGTAACTTTTTTCCCCAAAGTTGTGTGAGGAAGAATCTATTATGCTATGTAACACTTCAGCACTTCAATCGTGAAGTTTTCAATGCATGCCTTTATTTTCTGAATTATCTTTATTAAATTTTTATAGCGAAATGTAAAATATTCTCATAATTAAAATCTTTTAAAGAAATTTTTAATGAAACAACTGAATTCATTTATCCAATTCAAACATCAACTTATTCAACTAAATGAATTTATTCATTTCTTAAAATATGAAAGTATCTTAAGAGGCTATTAAATAAATATATGAAAAATTTTTAATTTTTACTAAACTTATTTGAATTAGTGTATCCGAGTCTGATAGAAAATAATCAGCGAGTTCATTTAGCCTGAGATGCAGAAGAGCTCTGAAATTCAGCCTTTTTTATTTAAAAAAATCATATCAAGGTTTATTCCATCAGTGGAAAAAATCAGTAGTGGTTGATAGTCTTTCGTAAGTGTCTCTTTTGATAGGGTTTGAACACTGGTAGTTGGTCGCAGGTATGCGCCTCTCTAATGGGCTAGCCAGGTAGCGTTTTCCGGATTTTATTCACGTGTCTAACACCCAAGTAGAGGCCAGTTTTCTAAAACATTCCCCATCTGTGGGCACTTCATCTTTGGTAGAGCTCTTACGTGAGATTGCAATTATCCCACCAAACCAAATCATACAAAACAAAAGCTTTTCTTCAAAAAACGAAGTCTGTTTTTATTCATTTTGTCTATTTTATTCGGCATATTTTTTAAGCTTCGGGAGAGATGTACGGTCCTACTTTTGTGACTGATCAGGCCTCATTTTATCTATTATTTACTTATATAGATAGAACTAAGGCATTCCGCCTTAGTTCTATCTATATAAGTAAATAATAGAATCTGTAACACAGCTTAAAATTTCTCGGAATCCATTTGGGTCTCAAGAAAAATTTCAAAAATTATAAAATTTCTCTTATGATATAAAAAAGAAAAAAATGCACCAACTAAGCCTCATACTACGACTGACCGAATGTTGTTTTAAATTATTCTGCTGTTTATTATCACCTCATTTCTGTTTATTGCTTTACAATACACTTAATAAATTAACTTTGAATTTCGTAAAATCAGATAATGTTCTTGAAGTTCGTCAGAAAATTTGTTTTTTCATCAAGATATTGTTTTATTTGGGATTTTATGTAAAATATATATTATAAAATATCATAGTAAAAACAAAACAACGTACTGGCACTAGATCAATGTTTTATTCCCGTTCTTTGTAAAAATACTATGGTGATTACACTTGCCTAACGGTAATAGTGTACTGCAAATTCATAAAGATAAGAGAAATTTTAACTTACTTTGCAGATTATGTTGTTTATTTTAGTTTTGTTCCAAACTCGAATGTTCAAACTTGTCAATTTGTCAATTCAACACCTGCAAGCTGTAATGACACGTCGTATTTGGTACAGTACAGAGACGTTGAACGCCAGGTTTCAGCATTCTAATTCAAGGCATAGATATAACTCATACTAACAGAACTGACTGTTACGACAGATTACAAACTTGATTTTTTTTAAAATGATAAACATGAAATAATTAAGCTAGTTTAGAAAATATTATTTTTAAAATTTTGTTATCTGAGAAAAATGCATTTGGCTTTGATAAGTGAAAAGTAACAGTTCGTTGTTTTACCATCTCAAAAAAGAGTACATATGCTCTTTTAAGAGTAACCTATCTCCTTGCAGCTGTTGTTTTCACCTTAATAATTCATTTACCCCTTCTCCTCTTCTCTTAATTTCTTTCCCTCTATTATCTCAACCTTCTTTTAACAGTCAAAGTAATTTGAGTGTCTATCGAATCTCTTTAATCTATCAAAAAATTTCTTACTCACAGATAAGTATTAAATATTATAAAAATAAATAAATAAATAAATTTCATTCATTTAACTGAAATAAAAATAATTCTTCCAAAGTTCTTTTTAAAAAGATTTCAAATTAAATGATTTTTCTTAAAAAATAGTGCATCAAAAGTAGAAATTGATCAACTAAATACCATTTGTAATTAGGGGAAATTAGAACGGAACACCAGACAAAACAGAACACCCTATATTTTTGGCCACTGGGTAATGTAAAATAGCAGGAAATGCAAGAACATCACAGACCTACCTATTCTGTACTATCGAGGTCACTGTGAGTTGGCAACAACATGCTGAAGAGTTCGTTCCTTTTTTCAGCAAGATATTGTAATTTTTTTTTAAATCTTATCCATACGATAAGTCAATGCTAAGTTTTATCGCACTGCTATTTCTTTAATGTAGTAAAGACTCTATTTAACGAACAAAATTCCTGGTCTATATGTCATATTTGAAATTAACATCCTATTAACTTTTAAAGGTTTTTTTTATATGTAATTAAATTAGCAGGTTGTTTTTTTCAAATTCAAGAGTCACTGCTCTTAATTTTACGCCATAATTGAGTATGAATATCATCATCTAAAGAGGAATAAATAGAAAATATGTTTTTGTCTTTCTGTTAAATTTAAATTTGTTTTGTTTTTAGAACATTATTTATTTGTTTAAGTAAATACAATTAAAATGTAATTTCTAAAAATGTTTGTTTATTTCGATTTAGATCGTACAATTGTTTATTAGTCTTAGAAGTACGCTTAGTATGTAAGCAATGATATTATAAAAAACATTTCTGTATAATAATAAAAATTAAACTTCACATAATACATAATTTTAATTACACAAACGTATCGACATATAAATTATAACACTTTTATATAAATAAAAACATATAAATTAAACAATTTGTCAAATTTTTTACACATGCATTCGGAAGCCCTACTTTATATAATGAACTTTCGGCTTTAAAGGATATTTCTCGCTCGAATTAGTCCGTTAAATTGAGGTTTACTGTATTGCACTTTGAACTATAGATTCATTTAATTACATAAAACTGTAGTTCACACTATGAACTACAGATTCGATTCGTTTAATTACATAAATCTATAGTTCAAAATGCAATATTAAAATATTCCTCAGTTTTAACATAGATTAACAACATTCAAACACAACAGTTGCATCCGAGGCAGGACGGAACCAGATTTGCCAGAAGTGCTTTAGATGAGCTCGTAATTAATCTGCTGGAGTGAACAGTGAGGATGAAGGTGCTCTTTTTATTTTTAAATGTTGCTGTTAGTTTTAAAAAAAAACGTGTTTTTTAAGATATCTTTTAAATTTTTGAAGCAGTATTTCATATGCAATGAGACTAATTTTAACAAATAATGTTTATATAAAGCAAAATAATCTACAGAATAATATAATTTTATTACTAGTTATTTTTAAGGAAGAAAAATAACCGTGATTTCTCGCCAGTCTGCGGGAAAACGAATCAAAGTGACTTTTTTTTATATCGTAAATTTCAATTGATTTTTGATACTTTTGAAAGAAATATTATGTTGTCAAATAGCCAAAAAATAAACTTGATAATTTTCAAACGTCTATGTATATCGTTTACTAGTTTACAAAATTTAAAGCCTCAAAACTTCCATTCTGCCCTGGTTTACCCTAAATTTTACTTTATCTCAATTTATATATATATGTTGTTTATTTTAGTTTTGTTCCAAACTCGAATGTTCAAACTTGTCAATTTGTCAATTCAACACCTGCAAGCTGTAATGACACGTCGTATTTGGTACAGTACAGAGACGTTGAACGCCAGGTTTCAGCATTCTAATTCAAGGCATAGATATAACTCATACTAACAGAACTGACTGTTACGACAGATTACAAACTTGATTTTNATTTGATTAATAGTTTAAAAACAAATTATAATTTTTAAATTCAACAGGACCATATATTTATAATTCTGGTTGGATTAACAATATGGTCGAAAGAAGTATGTGGAGATCACCATCACCATAATACTCAACTGGGTGATTGGTGGAAAGAATGGTGGAGGGAATACATTAAAGATGTAACTGATCCGACAGTTGTGCCTGTTAAATGTCCAATATGTCCTACTTTTGTTCCTCCTACTAGACCCCCTACCAGACCTCCAACGCCACCAACGAGACCTCCCACTAGACCTCCAACAAGGTGATGAAAACAATTATAGCACTTTTATGTAGCAAAGTGTGAATTTCATCTTTTAAACATACTGATTTAGATCAATACTTAAATCAGTATCATGAATAATATTGTATTATATTACAACTGTTTTTCTAATTAATACTAAATTTTTTACATTATCGCTCAAATTTAATTTGGATGAAAATTTTTCATTTTGTGTTAATTCTAGACCCCCAACAAGACCGCCTACAAGGCCACCTACAAGGCCTCCAACAAGACCACCTACAAGGCCTCCAACAAGACCACCTACTAGGCCGCCTACAAGGCCTCCAACAAGACCACCTACTAGGCCGCCTACAAGACCTCCAACAAGACCACCTACTAGGCCGCCTACAAGACCTCCAACAAGACCACCTACTAGGCCGCCTACAAGACCTCCAACAAGACCGCCTACAAGGCCACCTACAAGACCTCCAACAATACCGCCTACTAGGCCACCTACAAGACCTCCAACAAGGTAATGGATACAATCGTAGCATTTTTATGTAGTAATCTGTGAAATAGCCACTCCGAATAATAATAAGGAACGCAGAGCCCAAACGGTTAGGAGTTGAAGGTTGAAATTTGGTTCACAGTTAGGGTACATCACGAAAATGTACACTAAAAAGAGATTTTTCGAAATTCCCCCCGAGGTTATTAACACTTCCCCCGCGGGGGGAAATGTTAACAATGGAAGTGGTTAAGTAACAATTGAAGTATGTAAGAGAAAGCTAAGTGCAAGATTTACAGGCGCAGATGCGATTTTTTGCGTTTTTGAGGGAAATCGNGTTTATAAGTTTTAGTTAAAGTCTCATACCGATCCAGAGGAGAAAGCTTCTTTCAAAATTTATTTCACTTTAATAAAAACAGTGTGCCGAGATAAATGACGAAAAGTGATGAGAGTGTATTTAAGTTCACTTTAAATAACGTGTCTAATAGTTCGTTCAGACAATAGTCTGTGTGATATACAATATTACTGTTATTATGAATTGCAATTTACAGTAATATTAAGATATTATACATTAAGTAAAGTTAATTAATCAATCAATGTATATTATAAAAGTAAGTCTAAAATCTGCGTGCCGCTAAAATTCAAAAACGAGTCCTGGTACGATCAAGTGAGTTATATGGTGTGGTAGCCCTCTATCCCCATCCATGATGAAGGTTCCCGCTTTTACCTGAAGGGCGTGCTGTTGAAAATATAAGGGCTGGAAGTTTCGCCCTCTAAAAATTTCTAGAACAGTCCAAGAACATTCGAGAATATTCGAGAGCATTCCACAACATTCCAGAATGTTCCGGGATGTTCTAAAACGTTCGAGAACATTCCGGAACATTCCAGAACACTCTCGAATGTTCTGGAATGTTCTGGAACATTGTGGACCATTCGAAGCCCTTTTTTGTATCGGTGGGACTACCCATTAGTGGGGTATATAAAGCAAGATCCGTCGTGGGTTCGAACGTCAGTTTCTTATTAGTGGCGAAGGGAAGAACCGAAAAAGAAGTGAAAATTCCAAAGTAGTGCAGTGAGTGAATAAAAACAAACAGTGAAGTGTGAGTAGTCAAAGTTATACAGTGACTGAATATAAATCGAAAATAAAGTGTGAAAACTGTGTAAAGTGTACTTAGTGTATTTGTTAATAGAAAGTTGATTTGATTTATATTTTATACAATGCCCAAACTTAAAAGAGGAGGAGCTCTTGCCAGTTCTGAATTTTCTGTTGAATATTACAGGGAATTTTCTTTTGAATATTAAACTTGATATCGTCGACAACATCATTTTTAGTTGCCAAAATTGCTCTTTGAAATAGCCACTCCGAATAATAATAAGGAACGCAGAGCCCAAACGGTTAGGAGTTGAAGGTTGAAATTTGGTTCACAGTTAGGGTACATCACGAAAATGTACACTAAAAAGAGATTTTTCGAAATTCCCCCCGAGGTTATTAACACTTCCCCCGCGGGGGGAAATGTTAACAATGGAAGTGGTTAAGTAACAATTGAAGTATGTAAGAGAAAGCTAAGTGCAAGATTTACAGGCGCAGATGCGATTTTTTGCGTTTTTGAGGGAAATCGAACATATTTTTAGACCTATGTAAAAATTCTCTAATTAGTCTGGAAACGAGGAACATAATTGTTGCATTCTGTGAAAACGGGTAAGATTGGCTATAATGTAATTTTAATCTTAATCTTAAATGTTTTCGAATAGTCGAAAATGTTTTGGAATAGTCGAGGACCGTTATGTGTGAGTAGTGGGGCTGGCTTTTGGAGACGTGTGACGCACATGCTTCAGTTGATTTTTCATAAGTAAAAGTGTATGAATAACAGAAAAAAGTAGAAAGTGAAAAGTGAATTGTGAAATATGAAAAGTAAAAATAAAAAAAGAAACAATGCCAAAGCGAAAGAAAGAAATTTTGTGGTCTCGAATCATATCTCAAAAGCAAAAGATGGCGCGGAGAAATGAAACCACAGAAGAAAGAGAAGTACGTCTAACAGTGCTACGAGAAAATTATCAACAAAACAGAAANTACTTTTTGCCCACAAATAAAAACCCAGCGAAGCGGGTACGTGCAACTAGTATAAAATAATTTAAACGATGAAGCGGAGAATTAAATAAACCTCATTATAATAAATATGAATTATTTTACATTAATTTAAAATTACATTAATCTGTTACTTCCTATTGTAACAATTTCGTAAATTTCCACTTTCATTATTCCTATAATTTACATTATTGGGAATTCACTGTATCTTCCATAGTTTGTAACTTCTAACCTTCTGTCATTCTTTTATTTACAATGTCATAAATTTATTTTTGTATTTTAGGAAAATTATTTGTTATTTATTACAGGAAGAATATAATTATAAACTTATTTTACACAGAACACGATATATTAGTTGTGATCACTGATAACATCAAAATTTATTTTTCACTTTACAGAGATAGCCACAGCTCGTTAATCTCAATAATGTATTTCTGTGATGAAGAAACAAAACAATATCTAATGTGACATAATCAATGTGAAAGTTATTTTCTTATTAATTTGACGAAGAAACCGTTACATATTTTCCTACTGCATAACATTTCTATTTCGAAATTATCATTAAATATGCTATATTTGAAAATGAAACAATAGTGATAATAAATTTCAAAATATTCTGAACTAAAATAGATTAAATGAATTTGTAAATATGTAAAGCCTCATTTTCCAACTACTGAATCACAATATTTCCGAAACTCATTACCCTAATTGTATTCTTTACTTTATTCATTTGTTCATAATTGTGTAGAACTTTGTCACTCTTATTTATACGAATGAAGAAATATTACACCAAACCGCATATAAATGTACACTATTCTAAGAAAATGAATAAATCAGTTTAAAAATCTTCAAAATTTTCCATTTACTAACTAATAATAGAAATAGTTTCAAATACTGGAATAGTAAGGTCACATAAGCAATGGTTCTGATATGTTGTGCTTCTAACGTTACATTTTTACGTAAAAAATAATATGAAAACATAGTAAATAATCTGTATTTAATTTTATTTCGCTGATTTATATATTTTCAAACAGATATGACCACCATTTATGTCTTACTCTCTCACATCAAATAAACTTTAAGATTGAATTGATATCATGAATAATTTTGAATTACATTACAACTGCTTTATCCAAATGATACTATTTTTTTACATTATTGCTTTATTTTATTTTGAATGAAAATTTTTTATTCTGATTAATTATAGACCTCCAACAAGACCTACTAGGCCTCCAACAAGACCACCTACAAGACCACCTACAAGGCCACCAACAATACCACCTACAAGGCCACCTACAAGACCTCCAACAAGACCGCCTACTAGGCCACCCACAAGACCTCCAACAAGACCACCTACAAGACCTCCAACAAGGCCTCCAACAAGACCGCCTACTAGGCCACCTACAAGACCTCCAACAAGACCGCCTACTAGGCCACCTACAAGACCGCCAACAAGGTAATGGATACAATCATAGCATTTTTATGTAGTAAGTTTATAGTTTGAATTTGATCTCTAAAGCAGACTGATTAAGATCAGTACTTTAATTGTAACATTAAATAAATAAAATTTTAACTAATAAATCTAATTTATAAGTCTCGCGCCGATCCAGAGAAACAGTGGCGTAGCGTGGGTGTCAGCCGTCCAGGGCAAAGGAAAATTTCGCCGCCCCCTTATTTAGGTATCTCAATTTAAAAAACTAAAATTCAGTTTCGTCACAGAATAAGTAATGAAAAATTCCGTGCTAGTGTTGCCACCTTTTTAAAATCGCTGACCCGGACGGCAGGTGAGGTTTGTTCGAACAGAAGTTCCTGACGCATGCATATGTCATTTTGCAATGCTAAGAATAATGTGCGGTGCATGCCAGTTCAGTTAGCGATTAAGGAGAATTGGGAAGGAGTAACGTAAGTAATCTAGATGACTTAACTGTATTGGAAATTGGAGGTGTATATGAATATGTACAAGCAAAAACAAAAAACAAAAGGTCAACAGATCGTGCACGAAATCCCGGACTGTCTGGATGATGATTTTCGTGCTTATTTCAATCGGTCCAAATCGTAGATGCGACGAAAGTATGTGATGAAATGGTTCAAGTTTTTACAAGTTATTATTATTTATTGTGAAATTTTGCCGCCTCCTAAAACGTAATTTTGCCTCCCCCTGAAAACCTCCGGTGTGGGGCAAAATTTCATAGTGGGGCGGCGGGGGCGGCCCGCCCCCGCTGCCCCACTATTCTACGCCACTGCAGAGGAAGAAGCCTCATTCAAAGTTGATTTCTTTTTAATGAAAACAGTGTGCCGAGATAACTGACGAAAAATGATGAGAGTGTATTTAAATTTAGTTTAAATAAATAACTTGCCTAATAGTTCGCTCAGACAATATTACTGTTATTATGTATTGCAATTTACGCAATAATATTAAAATATTCTTTATTAAATAGAGGTAATTAATATTGAACCATTAATCTGGTGGCGCTCTAATCGTTTTTTAGAGGCACATCTGTGTTTCTAACAGACACATTTTTGAGCGTTCCGCCTTTGTTAACAACGATTGACCTAAGCTTGTGGTAAGTCGCTCTGTTCAAATTTTGATTTTCTACCTTTATCGGTTTGAATCGATTGCGCCAAATGAATCGGCGCCGAACCGATTCATTTGGCGCAATGGACTGGATCTGAAACAAGCAGTTTTGTCGCTAGTAACGATTGTATGACTCTGTCCAACTTATTTTACTTTTTGGTCGTGACTGTACCAAAAAGTGACAAAGGATATTCAAACAGATGAGAGTCTAATCATCGCAATGATTGGACTCTCATTGTTTGAATAACCTTTGTCACTAATTTGACCCGATCGCTAGTATATACTCTAAAGAATAACTATGCCGAGAAAAAATACTAAAGAATGGCAACATTCGCTACAACACCGGAACCGGAAATTGATTTCCAGTCGATATCTGAAGCCTTGTCCGCAACAAGACAGGAGATACTCCAGTGTCGCATTGATTCATGAACTGAAATATTGGCCGAAGTTGACCGTCCTCTATGACTGGATGTATCGAGCACTGCCGCAATTCAGGCAACCGAAAATCATGATCGATTAATTAACATCAATGCCGAAAATTGTTTTCACCGCTTTGTTAAGGCCTACAGCATTTCTTTAGCGATAGAGTGTACAGTGCATCTGGGCGCAATGTTAATATACTGAAAACTCTGTTGGAACGTAATCTGATATGACACTACTTGAAAGAAACTGAATGTTCGCTTTACGACGGATAAAAGCGTAATGAATTTTTCTTGCCAATACGGTTTATGCTCACTTCATAATTTATAAAAAATAATTTAATAATTTTTGCATGTAATATAATTAATATAAATAATAATAACAGGGATAAGATTCATAATGAATTATTAAGTATAAACATAATTGTATACTAGAAAAAATTTAAAATTGATTTTTTAGTGTTTAGAATTATACTATATCAAGTTTCAATAATTTATTTAATATTTATTCAGAACAGTTGTGTTTTTCTCTTTATTACAATTGTTTTAAAATATCTTAAAAACTAACAACTTTTTAAATACTTACTTTGAATGTAGACTTTTTGAATAAACTTTTAATACTTTCTGTAACATAATTATGGTTCACATAGAAGCTTTCAGATCATTGGAATGTTCTATCATTGAAAAAAGTTCTCGTATTAGTAGCTGTCTAACAAGATCTATTTTTAGATCTGTAATCGTTCTTTGAATTTCGTTTAGAAGTTGCAGATGAAAATCACTTATATATGTACCGTACAGTAGCAACAAGCAAAAGTTTCTCTTTGCTGTTCTTTTAACAGGAGGAGCAATAGTCACTCTTTGATGTTTGATTGTGATCTTATTTTCTAGTCTTTCGGCTAGTAAATACGTAAAATTATTTTAGGAATTCAGTGATAAACTAATAAGTAAATGTAGGCTACATACCATTGCAAGAAATATCATAAGCTGATGAAAATATAAAGAAGAATCTACTTAATATTTCTTTCATTAGAATGACTTTGTTCTTTAATTTTTATTTTTCAATTATAAGACTTATTTTTTTATAATATTTTAAAGTTGAATCATGCAAACTACATTTCAAAGTATTTTGAATCAATTTTAAATTTACAGATTATAGTCAAATTTAACGATAAGCATATTTTATTAGATATCTCACTATTAAGTTACACACCATTCTTTGACAGATTTAAATTTCTAAATATAATTTATTCAATATTCTATATTCTTTAATTCAAAACGAAATTATTGTCATTCATTTGTTATACTTTTATCAAAGATATGAAAGAAAATGTTTCTAAATAAATAGTTATTTTAATCATTACGTGTATGATCATACATGTAATGAAATGTTATCTGAAAACTAAACAAACGTTAAATTTAAATAAAAAATATAAAACAATATTTTAAAAAACATTTATGAATTTTAGATCACAATATAGGCCTAATAAAGCTGTTATTTGTATGAAAAATAAATGCAAGTCATTGCAAGTTACACTGTATTTGATCGATATTACATATATCAAATATTAATTATTAAATGAAATCTCCGATCAGGGCCATTCCCAAAAACGTACTGTACATCTCAAGACAAAAGCCATTTTTTTACTAACTTTTTTTTTAACAAAAACTCACACAAAATAATATCAAACGGTATTTTTTATATTCCCGTCAGAGGCCATTGTTCAGAGGTTTAACTGTGTTTATTAATAAATTGTAATGAAATATTTTATTCATTTGTTTACTCCATGTTCTCAATTAGTTAAATTTAAATAAGTATGAGCATTTATATTTTTACAATTTTTACAAATTACAAATATTTTTACAATTTAGCGTAATAAAAGTATAAAGTGTTCAAATCGACTGTTTCATTTTGATAAATAATTTTTATATATATATTATAATTAAGAATATATTTTGAAAAATATTATTTTTGTTATTACCAGACCACCAACGAGACCACCAACAAGGCCTCCAACAAGGTAATGAAACAATTGTAGCATTTTTCCGTAGTAAGTCTATAGTGTTTGAATTTGATCTTTTAAGCAGATTGATCGATATCACTAGTTTAATTTTAATATTAAATAAATAAAATTTTAACTAATAAACTTAATTTATAAGTCTCATAGCCATCCGGAGGAAGAAGCCACATAGAAAATGTCATTTAAAAAATATTTATTTTCCTTTAATGAAAGCTTAAATGAGAATTATTATAGGTTATATTCACGCTATATTCACTTTATATATTTCTAACTTAGGGAGATGATCACGTTGCTATGAAAGATTTTCAAAATAATGCAAAACATTTGGTGATTTTATTGTAGGACTAATTTAATTACTTAGTTAAAGAAAATATAATCCAATATGTCAGATGCAAATTACTTTATTAATAAGACTAATTATAAGATAATAGCTTACATTAAGTGTTCTGTTAATATCATAATGCATTAATAAATACGTTAAGAAATTATTACTTTTCACTACACATGAATAATTTAAAGGTCATAACATGACTATGCTATATCTGTTTTTTTTTAATATTAATATACTGTATCTCATTTGAATTTTAGCTTTAATAATCATTTAAAATTGTGTATACAGAACTATTGTTGTATGAAGTTTATATAAAAATTTGATAATTTGCATTAGTATATAGGCCTACAGTATCAGTTTATGCTACGGTAAATGCAAATTGAGGATGAAATATAAAGCTTACTTGCAACTATGAAGTTATTATAAGTTTCCTCTTTATATATATAATATATATAAAGGGAAAACTTATAATAATTTTATTGTTATATATATATATAGGGGAGACCGGGGCAACTTCGGCATGCGGGGCAAGTTTGTCAAGCGCTTTTTTTAAAAAACAAATTAAAAGGAGACTTTGGTTATAGATTAGGCAGTTGAGTTTTATTGGTGGCTTGTTGAGTGTAGTGTTTTTATTTTTGAGTGAACACACACGCTGACTACTGGGGTTATCGGGGAAAAAAACAAGAAGTCCACATCATGGCGAATGATGTGGAATTCTTGTTACATTAAATTTATTTTTGAACTTGTTTAATGAGAACGGCTTAGTGCAAAATGAATATTTAGAAAAGAGAAAGAGGTATGAAGATTTTTTCGTTTAAATTTTTAAATTTCCGTTTGAGTTATAAATAACTAAATCAATCCTAAGATTACACTTTAACAACTAAAACAAATTTATGAGTGAAAATATTCATAAACCTCAGAACAGAACAAACCTTGAGGTACGAACTCACGAATGTCGACAACGAAAACATTTTTAGATCTATAACAGGCTAATATCCCCGTTAGCCGTAGCAAATTGTTATGCGTTATTATACCCATTGAAATTAATATTGAATTAAATTGAATTGATAGAATAAAGCACCGCAACACATGATGATCAGCCAATGGAGATCCTCCTGGTAAGAATTTTTGTGGGAAACTAACACCTAATATTTCGTGTGTCTAGGGTCTAGTTTTCTGTAAGTGTTAGACATGTACAGAAAACCCGAAACACTTAAAACAAACTTTAGCTTTATTAATATTACTATAGTTTTAAATTTCTATTTTAATTAATACTAGAGATATAAACCTGGAGCGGTCTTTCGAGGGCACTTAGTATATAGTATTAGAAATATTTTTATATCAAACATTTAACCTCCTTATAGTAAAGATGTTTCCTAGTAAATGTTTACTGAATTTTGTAATCCTTGAGATATAAACGATTTTTAGTACAGAATTTTTATTTCATTATCTTATTATATTTTTATTTTTTCTATAAAACCGCTTTTATATACCACTTTTATACACGATATTAGTTTCTTTGTTGTATTTAAAAATCCTAGGATGAAATTTTCATGAAATCGTTACAGTTATCGATTTGTTGATCAGTTCGACTCTGATCTGTAAACGATATTAACACTTGTACTTTATGGTTACTTTTACTTAACTTTAAGAATGATTTACCATAAATAATTTATATTTGAATCAATATAGATTATCTTGGTAAAAGATTCAATTAATATATTTATTGGAATATAAATTATTTAAATTAAATTTTATTTTAAAAAGAACATTTTTTAAAAAATCAAGCAACGAGTTATATAACTTTATACAGGCAAAAATGTTAAACTTGTATTTGGCTCCATCTGTTATGATATTTTACTTTGAAATCTTTTTGCAATTTTATAACAATTAATAATATAAAACTCCTAATTTTGAGGTGAGTTTATCGAAATTGTAAATGCCAATAACGAATAAATCTGTATTCTGTCTTACCCAAATGAGATATGATAGGCCTAGAGGATTTGATCCCGGGATCTCGAAAATCGGGATCCCGGGATCCCGACTACTTTTCAGTCCCAAAATTTTCGGGATTAAGTTTTCCTAATCCCGAGATTTTCGGGATTGACATCATTTTAAAAAAGTTGCAAAATAGACTGCATGAAGCGAAACGTTCAGTGCCAGTGCTTTTACAGAATTGCTTGCCTATCATTTTAATATAAAATATGAGAAATTTTATTCCAAGCAAGCAGCAGAAATTAACCTAGCGGGCTTGCGATGCTTGCTTGGAATAAAACTTCTTGTATTTTGAACTAAAATGATAGGCAAGCAGTTCTCACTGGGTTACTTGGTAATATACTTCATTTTTGTATTTTTGAATTTTCGCGGGCGCCAATCGATTTTCTGGCGCAGTCGAGAGCACTACTCAGTGCGTTTTACCTGTCAATGTGTCAGCCATCTTGTTTTGCCAGTGTGGTTAATATAGACCCGACGCCTCTCGCTTAGGGGGGTCGACCTTAGGTGAAAAGGTTACGACCCCCGCCTTGCCCGTGATCTGTCAGGATGATGCGAGAAAGTCTTTTTACGTTTGGGAGTAGTGGTTTGCTGGATGCTGAGAGACTCACACAGAGACCGAATTTACAAAATTAACGTGTTTATTTTTAGAAAGGCATGCTTACAATGATCGAAACAATCGGGATTGTAGCCTTTACTCCTACAATCCCGATCTGTGTCGACCGGACTGTTTTCTTCCAACCTCCCCGTGTCCTCGAAGCTATAACTAGAACGGGCTTATAAGTATTTACTAACGATTCCTCCAACTTCCATCAAACCTAAACGCGTTTTCTCAGCAGCTGCATATATGTGCAACAAATTGAGAAGCAGACTTGGTGATGAGACACAGGATGCGTTGTTATTTCTCAGATCATATTTTCGCAATTCAAATTAGAATGTTCCTATTAGATTAGTTTTCTTTATATTTAAGAAAAATGTGACTGATTAATATTATTTTTAAATACTTTTTGCTAAGAAACTTATCTTACTACCTACTTACTAGGTTGCTATATGAAAGTAGTCTATTTAGTCGATGTTAAGAGAGATTTTTGTTAATTTTCAACGTTTATTTGCATAGTTTGTTACATAAAGGTTTTTTCAATTTATGTGAGTTTAAAGAGATCTCAGTGATGCTTAAAAAAGAATAAATTTAACATGAAGACTGAGTGATTTTAAGTCTGGTTAGTCTGACTCTGAGTCTGATTAGTTAGAGTGATTAAATTAGCTAGGTGTATACTGTAAAATATGTTGATTTTTGTCTAAATTTTGATTTGTTGATTTCTGTAAGATTTTCTTAGTTTTTATTAACCCTCAATACCGAAATAATCCCGGGATCCCGGGATTGACTAAGTATAATCCCGAAATCCCGGGATTAGAAATAAGAACCGGGATCGAATTCCCTAGATAGGCCTTTATGACGGTATCTCTATCTCTCCATCCCCTTGAGCTTTAACCACCACAATTTAATAGCATCAATCCGTCTAATACACAAACCTCCCTGAAAAGTTTTAGAAAGTTCCTACAAAAGCACAGGAGTTATTAAGCTTTAAAATAAATAAACAAAATCGTGCTTCCCACACACTTAACATCCATAAATACAGTAAAAACCCCCACGATTCTTTCCTCCACGTTTCAAGGTCCTGAGTCAAAAATGTAAAAATCTTGGTGTTCATTTTACTGTATAAAATTTCTTCAAATTCAAGTCCAATTTATTAATAAGTTTTATTTTTAATAACTTCAGCGAAGTTTTAAATTACAAAATTTCATATTTGATTATATATAATTTATTATGTTAATGTCATTATTTCAAATTTTCCAGAACAAAATAAATAATTTAGCATTTTTATTCGATTATGATATTGTTCAGTGTAGTAGAAAAATTATTAAATATGTAAATTAGTGTAAAATTCACTACAGTAAAGTTAAAATCAAAGATTTATAATAATTTACACTCAGAAAAATAAAGTATAATTGTACTTTGGTTTTCTGAGGTGTAAATACAAATAATTACGTCGTATTTCAATATTTAACATACTAAAAATACGTAATAAAATATAAAAATTACTCCCTATACAAGCTCAGAAAAAAACAATCCTACATTGGTTGTTTTGGCATGGTCTTAGACACTGAAGTCCTTCACAAATAAAATCTTTTACATAAGAAATGTGATATTATTACGGATGAAATGTTAAGTCGAAAATTTTTACCTATCTCACGCAAAATAAAATAAGTAAATATTTTATATGTTAATTTACGTAATCTAGCTAGTTTTAAATTATTTAGATTCATTTGTATTGTAAAACAAGCGAAAGTTTTATAAGAAAAGCAAAACAAAAATTGAATTTTTATCATCTTAAATATTCTATACATATTCTATTGGATTCCAGATTTTTCATGCGTTAAATACCAATTTTATACTTGAAGAAATTGACTACATCAATAGAATTTTTCAATTTGCATTACTACTGCTTTCCGTCAGCAAAGCATCTCACGAAATTGTAGTAATACTTCCTCAGGAATAAATCATTGGTTAAAAAAAAAAAAAAAAACAGAAATTTCGAAAGCAAAGATTAAAATAAAATCAGTAAATTATTTTCAAAATATTATGGATTAAATAATACCTTAATATTAACTTTTA